GTCTCGTATAACTTCGTATAATGTATGCTATTCGAAGTTATTACGCCGAGGGCGGAGCCGGAGGGTCAGCACCGCGGACAGCGCCCGGTGCCCCGGCCCGAGCGAGGCGGAGCCGCGGGTCCCGCAGGAGGCGGCCGGACCCGCCGGCAGGTTTGTTTCCAGTCGTTTCATTGAGGGTACCGTGTATATGGTTTTCAACCACATGAAGCTACCGTCTGCTGGATGCTCTTATGTCTGGCTCGTGCCCATCAGGTGACGTGGGTACCGTGACAATGACCGTGTTGCGGACGAGAACTCTGAGGCCTAGAGAGGGGGTCGTGGCCCACCGCCTTAGGGACGACAACATGCACAAAAGGGGAAAGAAATCCAGCCCCCACGCTCGCTGAGAGATGAACTCCTGTGCGCTTTATAATAATTACACTGTTCATACTCTTCAAGTGTTTTTTAAAAATGATTTTTAACTAATCTTTCTTGAAAGGGTAACATGTGCACATGACAAAATTCCAACAGTACCAAAGGGGATACAGTGAAAAGAAGTCTCTGTCTCCCACCCGGGACCACATCCGCAGGTGCAGCCTTCCGTGTGTCCGTCGGAGACGTCCGTGTATACGCAGGTGCAGGCCAGCAGTTTTCTAACCTGTTTTTTCCATTGAGCAATCTTTTCTCCAGCACATGACTCGCAAGAAGAGGCCCCTGTTTCTCGAGGCCTTCATACCATTACCTCATCTGAAAGTCACTCCAGCCCTGAGGAATGAAGGGGAGGGACTTCAAGAGAGACCAGGCAGGCCTGGAAGCCACACAAACTGTGACCAATTGGCAGACACTGTGCTCAGGATGCAGCTGGCTTAGTCAAAGAAGTGTCCCTGGGATGGGGGCAGAACTTTTCTGTGGGCCTTGCTTTCACAGGGGTGTGTGTGTGCATATGTCTGTGCTGCTAATTCCACATGGTACCATCTGCCACATGCCATGTATATGCTTTTCACAGACTAATTCACTTTATTCTCACAGAGATCTGTTATTATGGGGCCCGTTGTGCAGATGAGGACACTGAGGCACAGAGCATCCTTGGGAAGGATGGGGCTGGACTGTGAAACCATATGGCCCAATCCCGGAGCCCAGGCCCTGTTCTCCTGAAGTTGAGGGACAGAGTTTGAGGAGCACTTCAGGCTTCTGCCCCAGAATCTGGCAGCCTGAGCTCTGGGAGCTGGTCCCTCTGCAGGCCCAGTGGGGATGCTTGACAGGACACTCGCAGGGCTCCTATACTTCCTGATAGCTGAGGTCAGCCATGTGCCAGACGCTGCTGGAGCTGTCCCTGGACATGATTTGCTCGCACACTGAGGGGCATATAACATGCCCAAAACATGATCCCAAACTCTGGGCCTCTGAGCCCTGCTCTGCCACCTACTGCAGGCAGCTCTCTACCTTCTCTGTGCCTCAGTTTCCTTCTGAAAAGAAGGAATAATAAAAATTACCTTTTGAGGTATTACTAGTCTCCCTTCACGGAGGAGCCCACTAGCCACAAGGCCCCTCACTGGCAAGGGCAGAGCTGGACCTGGAAACCCTGGTCTGTATTGGTTGAGCTCTGAACTGCCCTGGGCCCTGGTCAGCCTGGACATGTGGATGGTGGATGTGCATATTTATTGCAACAATTTTCTGACAGAGGACAGGGCATGGAGCTGCTTTCTAAAGTCTCTCAATGGGGCTAGTGGAGACCTTGGGTCTAAGACCCTAATTTTATACTGAGGGTGATAAGGCCTCAAGAGGGAAAGGGCCTGACTGAGGGTTACCCCGTGTACTGACCCCTCCTTTCCCACCTTCTCTGCAGTTCTGGGAAGTCATCAGTGACGAGCATGGTATAGACCCCAGTGGCAACTACGTGGGGGACTCAGACCTGCAGCTGGAGCGTATCAGTGTCTACTACAATGAGGCCTCCTGTGAGCACCTGCCCCAGCCCCCCACCCAGGACCCTGGGGAGAGCAGGAGGGCACTTTGGTTGGCTGGGTCCTAGCATCTTCCCTTTCACTGGTTGGCCAAGTGGCCAGCAGGCTTCTGGAGATTGGGCATCCATACCCACAGAATAAGGGCAATGAGGCATAGTAACCATCACCACAAAGGGAGATTCACATGCATTTAATGATCATGAGGGCGTGTGCACAGGCCTGGGGGGAATGCAAGGGGGAGGTCCAGAGCAGGGGCCACTGGAGGGCTTGGTCAGGAGCTATTTGGCAACTGGTATAAAATGATTTCCATAACAACCAATATTAACGTGGCCACATGGACATGTTATTTGATCCTCTCTGTCCCAAGTGTTGACTGTACCCATATTTTACACATTTTGTGAGGCTTAAGGGTGAAGTGAGTTGCTCGAGCTCACCTTTGGTCCCAGGCTCTTTGACTCCAGAGTCCGAGCTCTCAGGGTGAGAGCGGGAGGCTGGCAGGCCAGGGGCAGGATTTAGAAGGATGAAGGGAGGAGCCCCTGACTCTCCATAATCCAAATCACCCAGCCCCTTTATCTCCTCAGCTCACAAGTATGTGCCTCGGGCCATCCTGGTGGACCTGGAGCCTGGGACCATGGACAGCGTCCGGTCTGGGGCCTTTGGGCACCTCTTCAGGCCTGACAACTTCATCTTCGGTAAGTTTCTCCCGCTCCAAGCTCTGATGGCTGAGCCCACAACAGGCAATCCCAGGTCAACAGATGGCAGTAGGTGTCAGAAAGAAAGGACAGATCCGCCCCTCACCATGGTCTTGCAGGGTGAGAACTAATCTCTCCATTTTACAATTGGGCATTGGAGGCCCAGAGAAAGGATTCTGTACAAGAAACAGAAACCATTCATGTGTCTCTAGCAGAGGGAGGTGTAAAACAGGAATGAGCACACAGAATTGTTTCAGGGCTGGAGGGACACAGGTAGGGGCCTCCGGAGGACTCTGGAGTTCATGAGCATGCAGCCTGGCTGCAGCTGAGAGGTCAGGATGTTCTAGTGCCTGTGGGCGGTGGAACGGCCCTGGATGCTTGCACAGAAACAGGAGGAGTGGCTTGCCTCACCTGTGCCTTCCAGACACCAGCGCATCTGACAGATGGATGCCCATTCTCATCAAGCCCCAAGCTGTCAGATTCTGGGTTGTAGTTTAATCTTCCAGCATGGCCAGTCAGAGGGCAGGGCTGACCAACTCACCCTGGATCCTCTCAGGAGAGAAAAAGGCTCTGGTCTGACTCCAGGTTCTCCATTTCCTGTTCAGAACCCTTAACACTGGGCACTACACAGCTGGGGTCCCCAACACTCAGCAGCATTGGCTCAGGGGAGGCCACGGTGGGGCATGAGAAGCTGTGCTCAGTGGGACAGCAGAGACAGCAGCGGCACAGGCCTCCACACTTGCCCTCTGGCATGTTCAGGCAGGTGCTGGAGGTCTGGACTACGGAGCCCCTGACCCTGGTCTGTCTCCTCTTCCTCTTCTCTCCTCACCCCCCACCCCGCCACAGGTCAGAGTGGGGCCGGCAACAACTGGGCCAAGGGCCACTACACGGAGGGCGCAGAGCTGGTGGACTCAGTCCTGGATGTCGTGCGGAAGGAGTGTGAGAACTGCGACTGCCTGCAGGGCTTCCAGCTGACGCACTCGCTGGGTGGTGGCACGGGCTCGGGCATGGGCACGCTGCTCATCAGCAAGGTGCGTGAGGAGTACCCCGACCGCATCATGAACACCTTCAGTGTGGTGCCCTCGCCCAAGGTGTCGGACACGGTGGTGGAGCCCTACAACGCCACACTGTCCATCCACCAGCTGGTGGAGAACACAGACGAGACCTACTGCATTGACAACGAGGCCCTGTACGACATCTGCTTCCGCACCCTCAAGCTGGCCACACCCACCTACGGGGACCTCAACCACCTGGTGTCGGCCACCATGAGTGGGGTGACCACCTCCCTGCGCTTCCCGGGCCAGCTGAATGCTGACCTCCGCAAGCTGGCCGTGAACATGGTGCCCTTCCCGCGCCTGCACTTCTTCATGCCCGGCTTCGCGCCACTCACGGCCCGCGGCAGCCAGCAGTACCGCGCGCTCACCGTGCCCGAGCTCACCCAGCAGATGTTCGATGCCAAGAACATGATGGCCGCCTGCGACCCCCGCCACGGCCGCTACCTGACTGTGGCCACGGTCTTCCGAGGCCGCATGTCCATGAAGGAGGTGGACGAGCAGATGCTGGCCATCCAGAGCAAGAACAGCAGCTACTTCGTGGAGTGGATCCCCAACAACGTCAAGGTGGCCGTGTGCGACATCCCGCCGCGCGGCCTCAAGATGTCCTCCACCTTCATCGGCAACAGCACGGCCATCCAGGAGCTGTTCAAGCGCATCTCAGAGCAGTTCACGGCCATGTTCCGGCGCAAGGCCTTCCTGCACTGGTACACGGGCGAGGGCATGGATGAGATGGAGTTCACCGAGGCCGAGAGCAACATGAACGACCTGGTGTCCGAGTACCAGCAGTACCAGGACGCCACGGCCGAGGAGGAGGGCGAGATGTACGAAGACGATGAGGAGGAGTCAGAGGCCCAGGGCCCCAAGTGAAGCCACTCGCAGCTGGAGTACGGGGCCAGGCAGCTGCCAGGGCCAAGACAGCAGCGTCGCCCCCAGAGCCACCCAGCTGCCGACATCGCCCCCAGCTCTGCTCCCCATCGGCTTGTCTCGACATCCTAAGGTTCCCAAGTTATTGTCCTCCGGTATTTACAGTTAGGTCCCCGCCCCTCGTGAGTCCACAGGACTCTGTCTTCCCCACCACAGGCCATCTCCAGTTTTGTGTTGCTTGTCTGTCTCTTTGTTTTATTGTGGTTCCAGGCCTGATGTTTTATGGTTCGTTTTGGTTTTTTACTGATTTGTGTTTATATTTTGGGGGATACTTAATAAATCTATTGCTGTCAGATACCCCTGCCTGGTGCTGGAGATTTTTTCATTCTGGAAAGTTGGGTCCAGAGGGGTGAGGGGCAGACAAGGAGACTCGGGTGGGGGCTGAACCTGAAGGTGCCTCAAGGCCCAGCCCCTGCGGAGCTCCAGGAAGTGGGGGAGGGGCCTGGAGAAGGAACTGGCCTCATCCCAGAGCCCCCAGCACAGCTCTCCTGTGATTTAGGAACAATCCATGCTCATCCCACAAGCTGACTCGTTCTAGAACTTTCTTCTGGTTCAGCAGGGGCTGAAACTTACAGGCAGGCAGCCCTTGTCATGGCGGAAACTGACATGAGGCCTGAAGCCTGAGACCTGATCTAGGGAGAGAGGGAAGGGAGCTGAGCATTCCCTGGGAATATGTGGGTGTGTGGGGAGAGTCAGGGCTTGGGCTCTGGGAAGGGGCTGGTTGGGTAGGACGTGGTGCCTGGACCTAGGCCCAGGCCCACAGTGTTGGCTCCATGCTCGCCTGGTGGTCATTTCCTGCAGTCACAGGACGCACAGTGTCCAGCTGCACTGGCACCTGGAAGGGGCATTGCCACAGGAGACACTCCTCTACAGGGAAAGAGGCTGGCTGCCCAGGCGCCCACAGCAAGTGTTCAGAGCTGGGTGGGGGCCCAGACTCCTCTTCACTCAGTCCCCCTGCTGCCCATCACTCAAAGCCAAGGGCACCATCAAGCCTAAATCCCCCCGGCCTCTGCTTGGCAACAACATGAAAGTGGCCTCAAAGCAGGCGCGGCTCCTTCTCACACCACCCTTCACTGTGGCTGCACAAGCACAGGAAGAGAGGTTGGGGGACTGCTGGCAGTCTCAGGAACTGAAGCCCCAAAGGACCACACATCCTGAACCCTGGCCCCGATCCACACACCCAGCACGGATGGGCACACAGACCGCTGGGACTGTCTCATCTGTTAGCCATTGCTGTGTAACAAACCACCCCAAGATTTAGTGACCTGAAACAGCAATTTATTATTTCTCTTGATTCTATAACTAGATGATTCTTTGGCTTCATGGTGTTGGCTGGCATAACTGCAAGGTCTAAAGCCTCACTCTTGGGACCAGCATTCACAGGTGCTAGCTGGGGATGGTCAGTCTCTGTTCTCCACCACAAGGCCTATCCATGTGACTGCCCAGTCTTCCCCACAGCATGGTGGTCTCAGAGTGGGCCAGCTACTCACATAGCAGCTGGCTTCCCTGGCCAGGAACAGGCCCAGAATCCCTGTGCTGCATTCAACGGGTTAGAGCAAGTCCCAGGCCTAGCCCAGACATGCGAGCGTGTGAACCCGGGAGATGTGGTTTGTGAGAGGCTACCAAACACAGTCCGCCACACACCTCGAACTTCGCGTCCTCTCCCCCAGTCCTGCCTCCCCAGAGCAGCGAGGCCAGCTCTATCTGTCCAGGTGCTCGGGTCAAGCAGCTTGAAGCCGTCCTCGACTCTTGTTTCTCCCACCCACACCTGCTCCGTCAGCAGATCTGGCTGTCTCTTCCTCCAGAATATGTCCCCGTCCTCTCCTGTCTGGTCCACGCAGTCACCTCTCACTAGGCTCCCTGCTCCTGCCTGGCTCCTCAGTTCCTTCCTCACATGGCAGCCAGAGGATTCTGTGAACACAGTCAGCACTCAGTCCCCCACTCACACCCTGACCGGCCCCTCCCCTGGTGCGATGGAGCCCCTCGGCGGCTACAGCATCTGCCCTCGGCCTCACCGACCTCCCCCCACCTCTCCCTCTTGTTGACTCTGTTCCCTTCTTGCCACTTTCCTTGATGTTCCTTGAACACTTACGCCTGTGCCCACCTCAGGGCCTTTGTGCAGGGTCTTCCCTCTGCCTGAAACATCCCCCACCCCAGATATCTCATGGCTCCTTCAGATCTGTATTCAAATATCACAGGACATTTCCTGACCCACCCTTTAACCTGGCTCCTCTCTTCTGCACACACGACCCTTCTCCAAGTCTACTTTCTACGCAGCACTGACCACCTACATCAGTCAGGAAAGAGGCTGCCCCCCTGGGGGAGGGAGCGTGGGCAGGCCCCAGTCAAGGAGTGCTGAAGGTAGAGGGGTCAGGGAGCAGGATTACTGGGCCCTGCCGACAGCTGGAGCCACAGGACAGACAAGCCCAACAGGAGCTGTGGCTTCTCACAGGGAGGGCTCCACTGCCAAGCCCCAGGCCGGCTCAGAGGGTGCCAGTGCCTGGGCACTACTCTGCCCTCCCCTTCTCCATCCTCCCGTCCCTGCTGAGGCTCCCACTGGCTGGATCAGCTGGAAGTCAGGGGACAGGGGAGCCAGGGGGCCTTCCATTCAGCTCCACATTCAGCAGACTGAAAGGTGGGTCTGGGGTGGCTAGAAGGCGTCAACCCACCTTCACCATGCCTTTCCTTCAGTCACCAACCGATTGTCTCCTCCACTGAACGTCAGCTCCATGAAGGAATTTCCGCATTGTTCCCTGCTGCAATCCTCGTACCAAAAAGAATGCTTAACTCACAGTACCTGTTTAATAAATATTTATTAAATAAATGGTGTAAATTATAGTCTTTCATGTAACAAGAAGTCTGGAGATGGTCTTCCAGGGCTGGCCTTCTGTCACCTCCGTGAGCCCTCCAAGGATGCAGGTTCATCCCCTCTGTCGATCACAGGATGAGCCCCATTGCCCAAGGCCACTGCCACCCCAGTCATCACAGTTGGATCAGGGGAAGAAAGGGGAAATTTCTAATCTTATGACTCCTTTTGGGGATGAAATCCCAGAAATCCCCAGCGGTTGTCCTGTCACATCTTCTTGGCTTGGTGGGCACGCCTGTTCTTACAAATGCCTGGCAAGAGGAACAGAATCACTCCCAATGGTTTTCATTAATCAAGGTCACCCACCGAGGCAGAGAAGGAACCATATGCACAAAATCAAAGCTCTTGCAGTGGTAAATGGGGAGGAGGCATTGGGGAGGGACCCAAGGGAGTATCTACAAAAAAACTCAGACAGTCTCTGAAGGGCAGGACGGCGGTGGGGATGGGGTGTAGTGAAACCAGCTGACAGGGCTGGGATGCTGGGCATGAGAACTCAGAGTGGGTGGCAGCCTCTCCGGGTGACAGTCTGCAGAGTGTGCACCAGTTAAGGGGAGAAAACTGAGGGTTGTGGATGACCCCTCAGCACAAGCAGGACGTGTGTGAGAGTCCAAGCAGCTCCCAGGAGGAATGCTGGGATGTTCCAGACCACACTGAGGTTGGCATCCAACCCGAGGGCTTCTCTTGCTCCAGCTTCTGCAGCCCACACACTCCGGCCTCTCCAGCTATTCCTCTTGGTCTCTGCTAGCTGTGTCCTTCTCTTTTGTAAACCTTCTAGCTCTGTCTGAACATTATTCTCAAGATGCCATGCTCCTGACAGATCATATTTTCCAAAGATAGTCATGAGATATCTTCCATTCCATAGGCCTTTCTGCACTGTGACCCTGCCACTCTCGCATCAAGAGGCAGGGTCTAATTCCCCTCTTCCTGAAGCTGGAATGGTATTAGTCACATTTTCGTAAGAATAACTTTTGTGGAAGTGACACTGTGTGACTTCCAAGGGCAGCTCAGGAAAGGTCATGAGCTCCTGCTTGGTTCTCATGGAACCCAGTGCCATGCTGTGAAAAGCACAGCCACATGGAGGCATCTGGTCGATCATGCCAGGGAGCCCAGCCTGAGTTGTCTCAGTCAATGCAGTCAGGAGCAAGAACGTGCATGCAGCTTAAGTGTTTGAGTGTCCCCACCTGTTGTCACAGAGTGCTTCAGGCATCACGGAGCAAAGACAAGCCATACCCATTCTGTCTGAATTCCTGACCCATAAGACTTGTGAGCACTAAAATGGCTCTTACTCATTGCACTAGGTTTTGCAGTAGTTTGTTATGCAGCAACAGATACCCCAAACACACCCCTTGGGGCTACACCCTGGTGTGTGGCTTCTGCCTATCCTGGAGTTCAGAGCCTGCCAGAGGCTGTGGCAAAGGACAGTGTCTTCCCATCCTTGGGGTATGCTGCAGATTGAATGTCCCCCCCAAACTCATTGAAGCTTGACCCCCATTGTAACAGTGCTAAGAGGGTGGGAAATTTGATTATGGTATTTGAAAGGTGGGGCCTCTGAGAGGTGATTAGATCGTAAGGACTGTGCCCTTGTGAATGGAGTAATGAGTTATCGTGGGTGTGGTTCTGATGGCTTTATAAGGAGGGCAAGTGAGGAGGCTAGGGCTTTTTACAAAGTCCATTCTTTCTATGTGACACTCTGTGTTGCCACAGGACCCTGTAGAGAGTTGCACTAAGAAAAAGGCCCTCACCAGATGTGCCCCCTCAATTGTGAACTTCCCAGACTCTGAACTGTAAAAAATGAATTTTGTTTTCTTATAAATTACCTGGTTTCAGGTATTCTGTTATAAGCAACATAAATAGACTAATACAGAATCCTACTCAGCAATAAAAAGAATAAACTACTGACACCTGTGACAATATGGTGCATCTCAAAATAATTACTCTGAATGAAAGAAGACAGACAAAAAAAGGGTACCCACTATATGATTCTATTTCTATAAGATTCTAGAAAATGCAGCATAGTGACAGAAGCAGATTAGTGGTTGTCTGTGGATAGAGGCAGGGACAGGGGTGGGGGTTGCAAAAGGGCAGCATGAAACATTTAAGGGTGATGGATAGGTTTACTGTCTTAATTATAGTATCTCAGGTATACACATATGTCAATACTTATCAAATTGTACATTTAAATATGTGCCATTTATTGTATGTCAATTACATCTCAAGAAAACTGTTAAGAAAAAGGAAATTTCCAATGGCTTGTGTCTGGTCACCAATCAAAGCCGATGTTTTTACGACTGGCCTGCAGCCCCTCCTGTCTCCAGGGCCCTCCTCTCACTCCACCTTGCACCGAGTTTGGGCCACGTAGACCTGCTTTCGGTCCTGCAGGCTCTTTCAGTTCCTCGAGGCCTTGGCACTTGGAATTCCCCTTCTGGATGCTCTTTCTGAGCTCTTCGGTGGCTCCCTCCTTCTGACCCTTCAGGTACTGGCTCGAGCATCCAGGCCTCCTTCCCTGACCTCAGTCACTACTTTGTTTATTTCCTTCCTGGTGCTCATCACATCTGTGATTAATTTGCATCTTTGCTTATTGTCTCTTTGGTTCCCTGAGTGCTGAGACTTTGTTGGTCTTCTCACCCCCGTGTCCTGGTACCTCAGCTGGAGCATGGTTCTCAGTAAATGTGCTGTTGAATGAATGGTCTACAGAGGAATGGAGAAATGGTAGTGACTCACTCTAATTAAGAAATAAGTAGACATTTAAAAAATATATATATATATTTATTTATTTATTATTATTATTTTTTTAAAGATGACCAGTAAGGGGATCATAACCCTTGACTTGGTGTGGTCAGCACCACGCTCTCCCAAGTGAGCCACGGGCCAGCCCAGAAATAAGTAGACCTTAAACTGTCTCTCCTTGGGTGTGCGTGTGGGGGGTCCCATTGCTTGCATAGATACTGGTTCAGAGTCAACAACTGGTACTAACACGCGTTTGTGGAGTGGGCCACCTGGGGGTGGAACATTCTTCCTCTCAGGGCTGGCCTCACCTATAGACTCACCCCTTTCTTTATTCCTGTAACTGAGCACCCCCGTGTGCAGGCACCGGTCTAGGCCTTGAAGCAGTAAGAAAAGCCCCAAATGCTCGCCAGCTGCCCTTAGCTTCTTGGGGGGTGGGGATCAAGGACAAATAAAAATGTACAAGATAGAGGGTGTCAGGCAGTGACAAGTGTGTGTGGGGACGGGCCCTGCCTCCCAGAGAAGATTGACAAAGCCTGCCGAGGAGGAAAGCAAGGGGCAGGTGTCTGGATATGACTGAGGAAGTCACAGAGGCTCAGCCAGGCAGATGCCCTGAGGGGTGAGCCTGGTGAGTCGAGAAGCCAGGAGGTGAAGTCTGGGGTAGACTTCTTTTTCCCAGGATCCCCCTGACCGCCAGATTGAGGGTGAGGAGGAGGCTGCCGCAGCTATCTGTGTGGTCACAATGAGGCAGGGATGAGGGGTCAGATTCTGGGTACAACTGGAAGGTGGACAGTTCAGATGAGGAGTGTGGGAAAGGGGGGGTCACTGAGGTTGGGTCCCCAGCAGTGGGAAGGGTGCAGCTGCCATCCTAGAGGTGGTGACAGCTGTAGAAGACAGTTGTGGAGAGGTCAGGTGTCCATTGGGACATGTTGAGTTTGAGATACTTCTGAGAAGACAGTTGGTGCCACTGCCTGAGCTGTGGGGAGAGGTGGGGCTCACCACCGGGGAGCCTTCAGCACAGAGTCGTTTCCAGAGTCCCTGACTAAGTGTGATCAGCAAGGCAGGGAACAAGCACCGAAGGGAGAAAAGGACCCAAGCAGAGCCAGAACACTACAGTGTCCAGAGGAAGCAGGTGCTGAGGAGCTAGCAAAGGAGACCCAGAGGACAGCCAGTGGGGTGAGCAAGCAGAGGAGGGGGCATCCTGGGAGCCAGGTGAGGAAGGTGCCTTGTGAAGGTCTCAGTTCATTCTCCTCTGCCATTGCCCAGGCCTGGGCTTGCCAGGATGGTCCAAAGATCTGGCAGGAGAGGAGCCGGGATAGGGAGGCCAGGTGGAAGCAGAATCCCTAGAACTGGGGATCCTGGAGAGGCAGATAGAACAGCAGCCCTGGGTCCCAGCTCAATGAATCCTCCATGCAGGTCTGAGCGGACAGAGAGGAGGAGCGGGGTGCTAACGCTACCCTGAGCTGGGCTGGAGTGTCACTCCACCCTTCTCCCACTATGTGACCTTGGCAAAGTTGATGGAGCCACCTCACCTAGAGGAGATCATCTGACTGTGAGCTCAGACAGGGTTAAATGAGATGGTGTGTGGCTCCGCCTTGGTGGAGGCCCCTAGCTGCTGGCACTATCACCATGGTGGCCCGTCTGAGCAAAGTGGACCAAGTCCAGAGGCAGTCAGAGCTGCACCCTTCTACATAAAGGGGAAACTGAGTCTGGGAGCTCAGGGGCACCCCAACCCACACAGGGCTGCCTGCCTGTCTGCCTTCAGCTGTCCTCAGCTCCCCTTGCACGTGTAAGGGGCATCAAGTAAAGAAGCTTATTTCTGGGCTGAGGGCAGCAACAGGGGTGTGGCAGGTGGTGGGGGAGCAGCCCTTTTTCTCGCTATAAACACCCCTGCAGGTAGGTAGGGGCTGCCTCCAAAGTCCCACCCCTCTGCTCCTCCATTGAACGCCCCATAACCTCGCTGTGCCTCAGTTTCCTCTTCTGTAAAGTGGGGTAGAGTGACAGCATTTTGCTCCCTTATCAGCTGTGAAGACCACACAGGGTCCTGCCGGGGGACCCAGCACAAGTCGCTGCTGTCCGCACGGTGGTTCTCTCTTTTCTTTTTTTTAAAAAAAATTAAATGTCACAATTTTTAAAAAAGTGTTGTGGCTTGAATTTAAACCAGGGCTTTTGTGATTAAAGGAAATATAGCGAATGCAACCCCCGGCCGTGCCACCTTGAGGTCGCTCATCTCCCGGAGGAGGCCGGCGCGCAGACTCCGGGACCCGGCCCGTCATGAGCCTCCGGGCCGGAGGCGGCAGCAGCGGGCGGCCGGGCGGGACACAAAGTAGCGACGGCGACGGGGCGGGTTACAATGTAGCAGGGCGCGGCCATCAGGTGAGCGGCGGAGGGGGGGCCTCGGCTGGCCGCGGGGGGGGCTGGAGGGGACGGGAGCGGGGGGCGATCGGCTCTCGGGGGGCCACACGCGGCCATCAGGTGAGCGGCGGAGGGGGGGCCTCGGCTGGCCGCGGGGGGGGCTGGAGGGGACGGGAGCGGGGGGCGATCGGCTCTCGGGGGTCCACACGGCCCGCCGGGCCCAGGGGCTCCGGATCCCCCATTTCCCGATGCGGACACCGAGGGCGCAGGCCCTGCCCGAGGCTGGGGCGTGCGGGAGGCGAGATTCCGCGTTCCGGTCCTCTCCGGGTCAGAGCGGGCGGTCGTGACCTCAGCTGGCCCCCAGCCCCATGGGGGCAGGGTCAAGATGGAGAATCACCCTTCCCCCCGCCCCGGGTGACACTGTCACTGCTTCCTGCCATCAACACAGGCTGCCTCTGTGGTGCCTGTGAGACCCTGGGGAGCTCCGGGGATGCTGGGCTGCTGAGCCTCAATTTCTCCACCTATGAAATGGGTGGGCATGAGGGGAGAGACCTGCTCCTAGAAGGATTTTGTGTTGTTGTGCGTGAAGGTGGGGGAGGTTCTGGGGTGGCTTGTCTCTGCAGCAGGCTGTGGCCGCACTGCCAGTTCTTAAAGGAATGGTGACCCTGTCCCTGCACACCCCAGGGTCCTGGGAGGCCTCTTCCAGGCATGAGCGGATAATACCCGCCCCCACACACCAAAAAAACCAGAGTGAATTGTCAGGGCATCTGGGTGGCAGCTGCAGTGATAACTCCACTTCTTGGTGGCTGTACATGGGCAGGACATGGAGGCTGGCTCAGTGCATCCTGAGCTTCAGCCCAGTGTCCCTCAGCATCTTGGAGGCCCTTGGGCTTTGTTCTGAGGTTTCCTTTAATTGCTAAGTTGTGAAGTCCTCTCCCCCATGGGAGGGGTGGTCTCTAGAGAAGGGCAGAGGGTGGAATAGTGAGTTTTCTTCCTCTCAGTCTCCTCCTTCCTTTCAAGGCCAAGCCCAAATTCTGGGTGCCGGGTTCTGTGGGGTGAACCGTGGGGTGGGGAGCTGGTGCTGGGGGATTCCACTTGGGATCCCATCCTCCGGGTCTGTGAGCTGGGACATCATCTGTCTGCTGAGGGCGGGGATATACGTGTGATCTCCAACTTGGCAAAAGAGAAACTAAGGCTGAGAGATCAAAAATCTTCATTCATTCATTCATCCACTGTCTCTGTGCCAGTCCTGGGTCTCGTACTGCTGCTCAGGAGGTGAATAAAAGATGCTTTTTTCCACATCCCAGAGGAGAGCTGCTGGGAAGAGGGGCTCCTGCCAGGGCGCCTGCCTTTGAGCTCCTCTGGCCATATTTTAAAACACTGGCAGTTTTCCAGGGAGAGCCCCTGGGAGTGGCCCCTGCCCCACCCCAGCCCCTTCTGGCTGGACTGGTCACCATGTGGTGACAGTGATGGTTTGCTCAGCAGCAGTGCTGGGCTACTGGCTTCACTGACACACACAAGTGCTTATGCTTCTGTCCACCCCAGAATTAGGTGTTCTCCCCGATTATAGGCAAGAAAATGGGGTCACATAGCTCATCATTGTGAAAGCCAGAGCTTAAATCAGCTGTCTCGATTCTTTAAAACAATAGTAACAATGATTATAATAAGTTGTAGCTGATATTTATTGAGTGCTGACTATGTGCTGGTCAGTGTCCTCAGAACTTTGTATTAACTAATTAACCAATCTTTACAGTAACCCTGTATGTTACTATTATAATCCCCAATTGAGACATGAGAAATTGGAAGCAGAGAAGGGTTTAGGCATTCACTGAAGGTCACACAGGTTGGAGCTGGCAGAACTGGGCTTCAAATCGGGCCTGTCTGTCTTATCACCCCAAGGCTATTGGGGTGATCAGTCAGGATCTGTTTTGGCTACAGGAGAGAGAAACCTCCCTCCAGATAACAGTGTTATAATAGAAATCTATTTCTGTCTCACTTGAATGGAGCTTCGCAGTGAGCAGCTCAGGGCTCAGGTGGACTCCCCTGCAATCTTGTCACTCTGCCATCCTCATTCCTGGCTTCTGTGTCACAGCCCAAGGTGGCTGCTTCAGCTGCACCTGTTACACCTGCACCCAGATAGCAGGAGGCAGGAAGAGCTGAACAGGGGCAGCCCCTTCCTTTAAGAACAATTTTCAGAATCTTCTATAATCTTTCTGTTCATGTTCCATTGGTCAGAACATGGTCACATTACCATGTCTCATTCAGGGGAGGCTAGGAAATCATGTGACAGACACAAGGTGAGGGTTCCCCACTCGGGAAGAAGGGTGAGTAAATTTTGGAACAGCTCGATCTCTCCTGCACTCTGGGTGTTCCCTAGGACACTCTGGGGGGGCATTGGGCATCAGGTGGCCACCTCGGACTCTACCACCCTGCATGACCCACCAAAGTCATCAGGTAATAAGTGAAAGAGGTGGGACTTGGGCCCATGGCAACTGTGTCCCCCCCCCGTGTCTCCCTGTTCTGACCCAGTGGCAGCCCATCATCAGGTGCTGGGTCCTGCCAGACTGTAGCTCCAGCCACCCCACCCACACTGTCCACCACAAGGGCAGGACAAGCAGGACAGGTCCTTCAGGTGGTGTGGAGTCCTTGGCTCAGGTGCAGGTGACCAGTGTGGGGCTGGGGTGGGGCCTCCTTATGCAGCTGCTGTGAGGTAATTGGTTCAAACTCCAGCTCCCCACGGCCACACTGCATGACCCTGGGCAGGCTCAGTTCTCTTCTCTTTCTTTTGGGGAAGGGAGCATGGCAGGATTTGGAGGATTGTCTTTTATAGTTATGAATTATTTCAGACTATAACAGGTATAGAGAAAGCATAACCAATACCCATACACTTCACAGCTTAAAAACAAAGTCTTTCTGACTTCTTATAACAATAGCAAACCCTACCAAGAGCCTGCTCTGTGCTCAGTAGCTCAGTATCTACGAACTCATTTCACTTTCTCAATTAACACATGAGGAAATGGAGGCAGAGAGAGGCTCAGGAACATGGCCTGGCTAGTTACGTGGAGGAGCCAGATGCAAACTGCCTTCCCAACCACAGCCTGGAGCCATCAGCCCTGTGTGTTCTGCAGTCATTGATCCTCGACTTCTGCCGGGTGGGTGGTGAGCTAGGTACTTCCTACCTGACTCCTGGGATCCCAAGGCATGGAGCTACGGGACTGACCCTGGTCATGTTGCCCATCAGAAGGATTGGAACCCAGGCCCAAAGAGGGGCCAGTGTGGCCTAGAGCCTAGATGCATTTATGGGGGCTTCTCCTGGAGCTGGCAGTTAAGCCCCCAAGAACCCCCACTCCTTGGGCTTGGGGAAGGTGGGCCCTGCCCGAGGTCATCCCACAGGTGGCAGAGCAGGGATAGGCCCTGGTATTGGCTCCAGAGCATCCAACACTGAGCCTTCTGATCAGGCTATGGGTTTGGGGTGCTTTGGGAAAAAAGCACCCCAGGAAGGGGGCCGGGAAGGAGAAACCCAGTTTTGGGAGGCATGTCTCTTGGGCACAGGCTGACAACAAGGGCATGGTTGGACTGGAGCTGAGTGAGTCATCTGGGGCCAAAGCACCCCGTGCTGGGAGGCAGGGGACCTGGGTTCCAGAACATCTGGCTGGGCCCCCTTGGATAGGTCATGAACCCACATGATGTGCGTGGGACAGGCATCATGCTATGGGGCTCTTCCTGAGGGGACATGTCAGGGGGACCTGGGCAGGGCAGCTGAGGTGGTTTGGGGAGCGGATGAGGATCGAGACTGTGGGGTGGGGGAGCCCCACCAGACCCTCTGGCCTTGCCCCAAAGCCCCAGGGGGGATGTGGCGAGCCTGGGACTGGGCACTCATCCCGGCCCCGCAGGTGGAATGCTATGGAATATGATGAGAAGCTGGCCCGGTTCCGGCAGGCCCACCTCAACCCCTTCAACAAGCAGCTTGGGCCGAGGCGGCATGAGCAAGAGCCTGGTGAGGAGGCCCCGCATGTCACTTCTGAAGGTGGGTGCCAGTGGGGCGCAAGCTGTGCGGGCAGTCCGAGCCCTCCTTCCTTCCTGCTCCCCTCCCGTGCACCGCTCTGGCTCTGCCCTTTTCCCTGGCAGCGTACACCACTTTCCACCTGCTCTGCAGTTTACTGCTGTCTCCCCCGCTAGAATGAACATTCCCAAGGGCAGGGCTTCGTGCCTGACTTGTCACTGTGGCTTCCCAGAGCCCAGCACACACTGGGAGGGAGAGAGGTTAGCAGACGGAGTGTCCCGACTCCTCTGGGGGTCAGGAGGGCATGCGTGCTCAGGGCCAGGGTGGTTGCAGAGATGGCCTGCGGTCCACACAGGGGTTCATAAATTTTGCTGTGTAGCCATTCAGTGACTGTTCTTCAATCCATGTTTATATGCAAGGTGTCTGTCTGCCTTAGAAATTGGGATGTTTCTAGGGCCGGCGCCTGGCTCACTTGGGAGAGCGTGGTGCTGACAACACCAAGTCAAGGGTTAAGATCCCCTTACCGGTCATCTTTAAAAAAAAAAGAAATTGGGCTGTTTCTGTAGGACTGTCACCCCACCTCACCTTTTTGAGTGGCTCTTTCCTGTCTGCGCAAGAAGACAGGTTCCTTTGTAAATGCAAACCAGACAGATGTGCAGAACCGAGCAGCACCCAGTGCCCCCAGCGCCTCCTTCCTGTGGGCTCCCTGAGTTCCCTTCCCACCCCTGGCCACCGCAGCCTCCTCCCTGGGGGTGAGGGGCAGAAGACAGCAGGCTGGCCTTTCTCTCTGCCACCCCAACACCTGTCCCCCTCTCCCCCCAGAGACCCTGCCTGAGCTGTGCCCTGGGGAGCTGGAGTTCCGCTGCACTGAGCGCGTGATGGATCTTGGCCTGTCTGAGGACCACTTCTCCCGCCCTGTGGTAAGGTCTGGAGTCAGGTGACTGTGTGAGCCCCCAGGGTATGAGGGGCCAGTAGTTTTCTCGTCACCCCCTCCCAGGTGTCACATCCTTTCAGACGTGGCCCTGTGGGCTGGGGTGCAGTCTTCCTCCCTGCGAGCCACCATTGTCAGCCTCAGTTGCCCCCTCCTCAGCCAGGGCTCCTGGGCCTCCAATCTGAGGCCCACATGACACCCCCAATGCCCACCCTCCACGCCTGTCGGGCGGCAGGTGGAGACAGCCTGGCTTGGGGTTTGGGAGCCTGGGCTGCTCCTCCCCGCTGAGCTCCAGGCTCGTGTGAAGCAGATGTGAGTTGGTTCCACCTGAGGTCCTTGGAGTCCTGGGACATACTGCAGGGTGGGAACAGGGAGGGAAAGAGGGAAGCCCCCGGCCCTTCTCCCACCAGTCACTGTGCACCACAGCGCCATGCTCATCTGCCCTGTGGTTTGTTTCACAGAAGCCTTGTTTTGAAGAAAAAAAGTAAAAGGGACTTAATGACTAAAAAAAAAAAAGAAAAAAAGTTGAAAACAAACCATCTCCAACTTTTATCTGAGAGAAGCGTGGTAGTAACATTACAATGTAACTTGCAAAAGATTGGGCTGGAGTCTCCCAATTCTTTTTTTTTTTTTTTTTTAGATTTTACCAAATTATGCCTTATTAATATTATTTTTTACATTCTATGATGTGGAGGGAGTGGGAGAGGAGAAAGAGGAAGGAAATGGGATGGAAGAAGGAGGAAGGAGGAGGGGTGGGACTCAGTCCTGTGACACCCCCCACATTCCCACAAGGGAGACAGGGGGCTTCCAGCAGTGCTTGGTCCTTGCCCAGCTGGGTGCAGATGTCAGGGGGGTGTGGCAGAAGCCTTTGCCCCCCACCACCCCAGCTTGGGAACCTGGGGCCCTTCTTGCTGCAGCTCTGTGGTTGTCACTGGGCTTGTTGTGGGTGTCGGGGCGGGGGGATGTAGCCGAGGCCCTCAACCCCCCACTGCTCTGGCTCCGGAGAGCCCAGGGTGCTTCCTGCAGTGGTGTGGTGGTCATTGCTGGGCAGAGCCCCTCAATTCTAATTCACTTTTTACTTTGTATGTGTCCTTTAAGCTTTCCCACACAGATACACATTTCATATATGTGTTTTGTATTTTTATTGTAACAGTTTTTTTTTTTGTCTTTTGTCTTTTTTCCGTGTCCGGCAACGGATCGCAACCCTCAGTGTTGCCCCCGTACCGGACCGGGGACCGGCAACGGGATTGCAAACCTCGGTGTTGCTCCCGCGCCTCGCTCAGCCAGTGAGCGGGAACCGGTCTGTATGTGGGATCCGAACCCTCGGACGGGAGCGCCGCCACGCTTCCCAAGCGGCGCACTATCCAGTGCGCCACCGGCCCGGCCCGTATTGTAACAGTTTTGAGCACTTCCTTTGGGCCACAGACTGAGAGCCGAGGGGGAGTGTGGGTACCACCTCCTCTTTGCCTGGGCCTCTGAGCTCAGCATCCTGGAGGAGGAGGGTAGCTCCGGAGGGCAGGGTCAGCCGAGCTCCCAAGCTCCAAGACCTGAGCCTGTCTTCCTTGGCGGCAACTGTGTTCTGAGTCTGGGCTTGGCTGGGCCCTGAGTCCCTGGTTTGCTATGTGGTAAGAGCAGCTAGAAGGACCGGGCTGGGGTGGGTGGGCACCTGCAGGCGACCTTGCTGGCATCTGCCTGGGCTTGGCAGTTAAACCAGAGACCAGGCTGGTTGGTTAGCTTAGTTGGTTAGAGTGTGGTGCTGATAACACCAAGGTCCAGGGTTTGATCCCTGTACTGGCCAGCCACCAAAAAACACAAAAAACCTAAAATAACATAAACTGGAGGCCACTTCCTCTCCATGATGGCGAATGTCATTTCCCCAACTTTCCTCTAAGAGGAAGCTGTGTAGAAATAAGTGAAATGGCATCATGAAAAAAGCAATCGAATTTCTAAAAGAAGGAAGCTGTCTTTGAAAAGTGCCCTGAATTGGTTCTTCAGAGGCCTGTGAGTAGACAGGTCCAGCCAAGGGGGCAAGTGGTGCAGGGTGGATCCTAACCGTGCTGCTGACTCTCCTGGGCCTTGAGCAAATCTCCGGCCCCCTCTGGCCTTCAGTCTCCTCATCTGGGGAAGGGGGTGTAGAGGTCTGCTCTGGCTCTAACTCTATGAGGATGGGCCTAGCTTTGACCCCAACCTGGACAGGGTCTGTTCCTGGCCTCCGACATCCAGCAGCTGCAGCAGGCGATCGAGGAATGCAAACAGGTGATTCTGGAGCTGCCTGAGCAGTCGGAGAAGCAGAAAGATGCCGTGGTGAGGCTCATCCACCTCCGGCTGAAGCTCCAGGAGCTGAAGGTGGGTGCAGGCTCCCTCCCATGTGGGGGGCTCCCTCTCGGCTCTGAGGGGCTGAGGTAGAAAGGTACCCAGAAAGGCAGTGTGAAAGGTGGGGTCCTCACCCCCTTGCAGGCTGTTTCTCTGTTAGTCTAGACCCTCTTGGTTGCCAGGGACAGAAACCCAACCTTAAGTAGATAAAATCAAAAAGAAAAAAGCATCTGCGTGGTGAATGAAAAATCCTCCAACAGCGTCAGGAGTCTTGCCATCCTTCTACTCTACTTTCTGTTTGATCCACTCTCAGGTGGGCTTTCCTCTTGTGGTGGCAGAGACAGCCCCAGCCCCTCTCTGGCCAGCTGCCCAGTCCTGGCACAGGAGTGCTGCCCTGTCTCAGTGGCCAGCAGGAGCTTCAGGCCTGATTTTCATTGGCCAGTCCTGGGCCTGCCCCTGACCCAATCACATTGGCTGATTGGCCAGTTCTGGGTGGAGTGCCCACCCGGAAACAATCACAGTGATTGGATACTTCTGGAACATGTGCCCACCCTGGGGGTAAGTCCCACCCTGAACCACATGACCTAGAGTAGGAGGGGTGGTCTCTTGAAGGTGACAACAGGAGGAGGTAATGGATCCCAGAAGCCAGAAACCCCAGGGTCCCTGATGCAGTCCTCGAGTCTGGGCATTCTTTGGCTTGGCTGCCACTGTGTGCACTGTACACTGTGTTCCTGGGAATTTAGAAAGTGGAATATCACAAGAAAGTGGGCAAGGCTGTGGTAACAGAGAGAGGTGTGTAATTTTCCTCATGTAAAAATCCTGTGGGTGGTTTAGGGCCCATGTGGCAGCTAATGGTGTAGGAATTGTTACTCTGCCAGTCCCTGGGGGGTGCAAAACAGCTCACACCACAGCTCCCGCATCTGCACCAACCAGCAGAAGAGAGGGCGGGGGGAGAGGCTGCCTCCCTGCTGCTCACGTGTCCTCAGCCCCAGTGCAGTTCCAGGAAGGACGTAGCTGCAAGGCTGGGAGTGCATAATCCTGGAGGTCTGTGCCCGACTGATCTTTGTTCTAGTGCTGAAGCAGAGAAGGGGTGTGGCACTGGGCAGAAACACAAAATTTCTGCTACAAATGGTGCCTGGAAGAAATAATTTGAGGGGCTTGTATGAAGAAGGAGCTGCAGCCATCTCACCTATGACCCCTCACCCGTGACCCCTCCCTGACCTTTCCTCTGCAGGACCCCAATGAGGATGAGCCCAACGTCCGCGTCCTCCTGGAGCATCGCTTCTACAAGGAGAAGAGCAAGAGTGTCAAGCAAACCTGTGACAAGTGCAACACCATCATCTGGGGGCTCATCCAGACCTGGTACACCTGCACAGGTGGGCCGAGACCTAGACCCACTCCCCTGAAAGAGTGGTCTGGGTCCCCAGGGCAGGGCAGACAAGCGCAAAGCTCTGCTCCCACGCCTGGGTCACCTTCAAGTGAATTCTCTACAGTGTACTCAGTTTACTGAGCCCCAGGGTGTGCTGGACATACACAGAATGAAAGAGACCAAAATCCCTGCCTTTGTTGGGCTCACATCCAAGATCCGAATTGTCCAGTGTGGTGGCCACTAGTCCTATGTGGCTGTTCAAATTTAAATTAATTAAATATGTAGTTCCTCAGTTGTACTGTCTACATTGCAAGTGCTTAATATCCACATGAGGCTGGTGGCTGCCACACTGGACAGTAGAGAGAGGACATCTCCATCATTGCAGGAAATTCCACGGGCGGTGCTGTTCTGGATGAGAAGTCAAACCAGGAAGTGACATGATATGTCACACAGTCATAGTACAGTGAAGAAAGAGGGAAGGGATGGCATGTGTGGGATGGAGCAGGCATGGCTTTAGAGTGCAGTGAAGAGGCATCACATGGCATTTGAGCAAAAACTTGGAGGTCAGGGAACAAGCCAGGAGTGTATCTAGGAACGTTCCTGTGGGGGGAGCCATGCGTGCACAGGCCCCGTGGTGGATGTGTGTCCAGTGTCTTCGAGCAGGAGCAGAGAGCACTGTGTCTGTGGAAGGTGGGGTAGAGGTGGGCTCAGAGAGGCCGGGGGCTTTTTTTTTTTTTTTTTTTTTTTTTTTTTTTTTTTTTTTTTTTTTTTTTTTTTTTTTTTTTTTTTTTTTTTTTTTTTTTTTTTTTTTTTTTTTTTTTTTTTTTTTTTTTTTTTTTTTTTTTTTTTTTTACGTGCAGCAGGATCACTCTGGCTGCTGAGTTGAGCTTGGACTGGAGGAGGAGGGCAGTGGGAGTGTGAAGTGGCCCAGTTCAGTGCTACATGAAGTAGCTGAAGGTTTGGAAAGGGGGTGTGAGAGATAAGAATCAAGATGACTCATGACTTTTAGTGTCAGCAGTGCAGGGTGGAGTTGCTGAAATCTGAGATGGGAAAAGCCCGGGGGTGGAGTGGGGTGTGGGCCTGGGCCCAAAGAGTGGGGGTTCTATTTGGACAGCTTGGGTTTGATGGGTGAGAACAGCAGGTTGGCCCATGGAGGTGCAACTCTGGGGCTGAGGAGGAAGGGTCTGGACCACCTTTGAGGCAAGGCTCAGGATGGGGACAAGAGGATCTTTGAGGGCATGCCAGGAGGTCTTGGATGAACCTGAGGGTGGGAGTGGAGCCTGTGGGGGAGGGGAGCAGTCTGGCTGAAGGCAGCCTGGGCTGCAGGACGCTCCCCAGCTCCTAAGAGGCAGGTGGTTGGTTCCTCCACCCCAGGGTGTTACTACCGCTGCCACAGCAAGTGCTTGAACCTCGTCTCCAAGCCCTGTGTGAGCTCCAAAGTCAGCCACCAAGCTGAGTATGAGCTGAACATCTGCCCTGAGACAGGGCTGGACAGCCAGGATTACCGCTGTGCTGAGTGCCGGGTGCCCATCTCACTGCGTGAGTGGTGGCGGGGAGAGGACAGGGTGAGGGGGCTGCTCTGGGCAGGAAGGGGGCACACAGGAGCCTGAGAGCTACTGAGGACCCATGGACCGGGCAGTCCTTGCTTCTTGTCCTTGGGTGTGGCCAGGGGCTGTGACTGGCATTTTTTCATTTCCCACTCAAGCAGACTGAGGTTCCAGCTGTTTCATGACTTGCCCAGGCCACCCAGGAGTACCTGAGGGGCCGGCACCTGACAGCCTCCATGTATGGCCCTTGGTCACAGAGAGCTTGTGTAGACGGGGACTAGGGAAAGCCATACAATCATCATGCCCGTGCTGCAGCAGGCCTTCTTTCTAGACTCACTCATCTTAATTTGTGGGGTCCCTTCAGCATTCCTATGGCAGGGTCCTGTTATTATCCCATTTTATTGATGAGAAAACTGAGGGTGTGAGGCCAGCTACTGAGGTCTCCTGGCTGAGAAGCGGATGTATCGGGTTTGCAGGGTGCAAGCCCTGGCACAGCCGGCTCTCGCCCGGGAGGACTGACGGCATGGCCTGGAAGCTGTTGGGGGCGGGGGGTGAGGTGGGGACCCTGACAGCTACATTGACCTTGTGAGGACCCTGTCCCCTGCAGGGGGCGTGCCTAGCGAGGCCCGGCAGTGTGACTACACCGGCCAGTACTACTGCAGCCACTGTCACTGGAACGACCTGGCTGTCATCCCTGCACGTGTTGTGCACAACTGGGACTTCGAGCCTCGCAAGGTGGGGCGTGGAAGGGTGTTGTGGGGTGTCCTGGGGTGGGGCAGGGTGGGTGGGCATGTCCCTGGGTGGGTGGGGGCTGGCTGTGCAGGCCTGAGTTGGGGGCATGACACCTCCAGGTGTAGTGCTATAGGAGCCACTCAGCCATGTCCCGCAGGTGTCTCGCAGCAGCATGCGCTACCTGGCGCTGATGGTGTCACGGCCAGTGCTCAGGCTCCGAGAGATCAACCCTCTGCTGTTCAACTATGTGGAGGAGCTGGTGGAGATCCGGGTGAGGCAGGGGCGGGAGCGCTGCATCAGATGGATCCTATGGCAGGGCCAGGGACCCTTTTCTCCTCTGGCTGCTGTGGGGGCCATGGGAGGTTCTGAGCAGAGGAGAGATGCCACTTGCTTAGGTTTAGCAGGGCCCCTTGGTGTCCTTTGGATTGAAGAGGCTAGAGCCACGTACAGTAGCAATCTGGTGCCAAGGCAATTTTAAATATTTTAGTAGCCACATTAAAAGGTGAAGTTAACTGTAATAATATACTTTATTTAATCCAATATAGTCAAAAGATTATTTCAACATGCAATTAATATGCAAAACTATTGAGATATTTTACATTCTTTTTCGGGCCATGTCTTTGAATCACAGCAGTCTCAGTCCAGACCAGCACTCTCAAGTGCTCAGTGGCTGTCTGTGGCTGGTGGCCCCTCTCTTAGGCAGCAGTGAGGCAGGAGGTGGGGGAGGGCAGATGGGGCATCAGTCTAGGCAGGAGGTGGTGTCTCAGGTGAAGTGGTGAGAGGGGGTTAGAGTCCATTTTATAGGGGAGGAGACTGAGGCAGATGGGCTGAGGAGGGATCTGAGATTTGACTGGAAGTTTGTCTCAGTCTAATGTCTAATGCAGCCCCAAGCTGGCCCTGACGCTGCTGGCTCTTGGACAGGTGGTGTTCTGGGCCTGTAGCGCTGAGGAAAAGTGAATGTCAAGGTCCTGCCCAGCTCACAGCTGTGCTTTGAACTTGAGCTTGGCTGGAGCACTTAAGTCTGGGACTATCCTGGGGAACATGAGGGCACCTTGTCCATCCCTCACTGATCCTCCTGTCCCCCAGAGTATAAGGTCAGATCATCCTGTAAGCCCCACTCCCTACAAAGCCAGCACAGGGTCGGCCCCATCAGCCACGCAGGTGTGGCCACGGTGCCAGCCTATGTCCTGGCTGAGGAGGCCCACCTGCTTCCCTGTCCACAGAAGCTGCGCCAGGACATCCTTCGCATGAAGCCGTACTTCATCACCTGCAGGGAAGCCATGGAGGCACGTCTGCTGCTGCAGGTCAGACCAACAGGGGGAATGGCCCCAGCTGGGAAACAGAGCTCAGGTCCTTTCCAGATAACTTTATAGCTGGTGTGTGTTGTCCCTTTAGCAGAGGGTCTCCCGAACTCTGTCCCAAGGAACACTAGATCGACAATAAGCAAACTGGTATTGTACCCATAGTAGTGTTCTCTGATTATATCAGTTTGGGAAATTCTGAGATATGCAAGTTTAGCCTTTATGTGAATCTCCATGGGGCAGGGTCAGCCCAGTCCTCCTCAGGCAGGTTGACCACGAAGCACACGAAGCACAGTTTTCAAGGCTCACCTATTTATTTGTTCAACAAATGTTCACAGACACTGTTCTAGATTCTCAGGAGCAATGAACAAAACAGGCCCTTAGAGAGCACCTTTCAGGTAGGCAGGGCAGGAAGAGTAGGCAGTCCTCCACGTCTGTGGGGTCTACATCCAGGGATTCAGCCAGTTGGGAATAAAAAATATTCAGGGAAAAAAAATTGCATCTGTACCAAACATGCAGACTTTTATTCTTGTCATTAATCCCTAAATGATATAGTATAACAATGATTGACACGGCATTTACGTTGTGTTAGGTACTACAGGTGACGTGGCAATGACTTAGAGTGTATGTAGGTTACATGCAGATGTGGACATTTCATATCAGCCTCTTGAGCATCCCTGGATTTTTGATATCGGGGGAAGATCCTGGAACCAATCCCCCATGGGTACTGAGGGACGACTGTAGTATGTTGGGGGTGCGGGCTTAAACAGGGAAGTCAGGACCAGGCGGGAGGGTTGCCAGCAGGGGCCGTCAGTACAGGGGAGAGGAGAGAGGTGGAGCACACAGATCAGGAAGTGGCCCTGGCTCCACCGTCCCCACTGGCTTCCCTGGGCTGGTGGATTCTGCTCTTGGGGCCCAGACACAGAAGCCATCTGAAGTTTCTGCAAGTGGCCATAGGTGGGCAGCAGGAAGGGCCCCTTCCAGTGCTTGGGGTCATAGCTGCTGGGACTTGGCAGCTCCAGGACCGGCAGCATTTCGTGGAGAACGATGAGATGTACTCCATCCAGGATCTCCTGGACGTGCACATGGGCCGCCTCGGCTGTTCGCTCACTGAGACCCACACGCTCTTCGCCAAGCACATCAAGCTGGACTGTGAGGTGGGCCCCCACCCCCGCCATGGCTGTGGTCTGCTCCAGAGGCAGCTCTTTGCCCCCAGCCCTGAGGGCCAGGCTTGGCAGGAGAAGCTGCTGGGCCCCCCACTAGCCCCGGAGTGCCCTTTAGAGCTGGTGCTTATCTGCCCCCCAACCCCCACACTGTTCCCCTCCCGCCAGCGGTGCCAGGCCAAGGGCTTCGTGTGTGAGCTCTGCAGAGAGGGCGACGTGCTGTTCCCGTTTGACAGCCACACATCTGTGTGCAGTGACTGCTCGGCTGTCTTCCACAGGTGGGTGTGGCCCGGCCCCACCCTCAGCCAGGTGCTGAGGCTCCACCCTGCCCTCTGACTGGGGGGCCTGGCCTTTGCCGCAGCTGTATTGGTCCTGTGGGAGCCTGCACTACTGCCCATGAGAGAGGGACAGACAGACATCTGGGTCTTTGCTGCTCATTTTCAAAGCCCTTTGTTGATCCTGAGACATGGAGTTAGACCCTGATGTCTGTGGCTAAGTTCAAAGTTTCATTAGAAATGAACACCTGGGGCTGAGCCCGCGGCGCACTCGGGAGAGTGCGGCGCTGGGAGCGCAGCAGCGCTCCCGCCGCAAGTTCAGATCCTATACAGGGATGACCGGTGCGCTCACAGCGCTCACTGGCTGAGCATGGTGCGGCCGGTCTCAAAAAGGACAAAAAAAAAAAAAAATGAAATGAAGGGGCTGCTGTGGCTGTTTGGAAAAATAATACACATAAGTTAGAAGAAAAATATTTTACTATCATTCTTTAATAGGCATAATTACCAATTACTTACTAATGACATGTGTGCATCTGCTGGGCCCTGGACACCTTCTCAAACCTGGAGTCAGATGGGACAATAGCACTCCCATTTCTGTCTACACTGATTTTTGCCTGGTCTCTGCTGTTTGTCATAGCAACTGTTGAAATACCAGCTCTGCAAAGCAATGTCTCAGAAACTAATGTTGAAACTGTGAACTCCCTTGAGCTAGCAGTTTGGGTGGCATCTGGCAGACCTCACACTGCCATGTTCTCTTCAAAATCTTAAACTAGCCTGTGGAGCCCCGTGCACCCTCAGTAGTGCCCTGTGGTTCCTTAATGAGCAGTTTGGGAACCATGACTATGGTAGTGGTGATAAGAACTGGTGGTGATAAGTCTAGTAACTAAGAGCTTGGAGCCTGGTGTGGCTCTCTGGCTCGGTCAGGCCCTTCAGCTGTGAGGCCTGGGACCTGAGTTGGCTGGGTATAACAGATGTCATGAGGATCCCTTAGGGAGGCCCGTATCAACACACCAGGTAAGTACATACCATACATGGGCCTCATGGTCAGTCACACCAGGGTGTAGACCCCGCTTCTGCCCTTCGGTAATGTCTCTGAGCTCTAGTTTCCCCATCTGCAGAGGGGGTTAGTGAGAGCTGACTTAGGAAGCTTGTGAGGGTTTGGTGGTAAATTTTATGGCAAAGGCCCCAACCTTCTTCCTGCCCCCAGGGACTGTTACTACGACAACTCGACCACGTGCCCCAGGTGTGCCCGGCTCACCTTGAGGAAGCAGTCACTCTTCCAGGAGCCTGGTCCAGATGTGGACGCCTAGGGTGCTGGGGGAAAGCACTGGGTGCTGCCTGGCCCATCTGGCGCCTGCCCTGCTGGTCGTTGCCAAAGTCAAGGTATTCATTCTACTCTGGAGACCACCAGGGTGCTGCCCCTGGACCCCTCCACCCCTGCTGGGTGAGGGGGTGAGCCCACGAGGACGATCCCCCAGGTGCTTTCCCAGACTCATGGTGGCCACACCTGGCTGTACCTGGTTTGCTGCTGTGAGGGGTCATGGTGTGGCCCCCGCTCTCCCCCACTACAGGACTCCCTGGGACCCACCCCAGAAGCTGGTCAGGACAGGCTGGCTATAGACTCCCAGCTCCAGCACAGCTTTATCTTCAGAGATGGTCCGGGTTCTGCTCGGAAGTGCTCACCCCAGCTGCTTGTCTCTTCAGGGGCTTCTGGCTGTCCCTGGCTGGGGCTGTCCATGGTCTCCCGTGGACCTGGCCTCCTGGGATTCTTCTGAGTCTGTCTTGGGCAGTCCTTCCAGGAGGGTTGCTATCCTCTCTGTACAGCCAGGAGAGATAGGGGTGTAGAGCTTTCCGCCGCTGCTCCTGCCTTGGCCCATCCCCTGTCATCCTGGTGCTCTGAGCTGGGTGGCTGGGGGTCCAGCCTGAGGAGGATGTCCTGGCTTCCAGTTGTGAAGCAGGGACTGTGCCCGCTGGTTACAGTGGGTCTGGGCGGCATTTCTTTGCCCCTGAGGAACTCTGTCATGCTGCCACAGGCCTGTGGAGGGTCCAAATGGCTCGAGGTGACTGGCCAGCGGTCTTTTGTTTGGGGGCTGAGGTCATTTGCCCGAGGGAGCCCTGGGCAGGATGATGGGGCAGGGGTGTGGGAGGTCCTGCACTCATGACAATGGCCCCTGGATGGCACATGAGACCTACAGTCACCGCTGGCCTAGGTGTTTGCACTTTATGGATCCTGCGGTCAGGGGCCACAGGAGGGGATGTTTCAGGATGCAGCTTCCCAGTGTTTGGCCCAGGAGGCGGTGCTACTTGCCTCTGCCCTTTTCCTGCCCTGGACTGTGCTTGGCCGTTGTGCACATAGTTGACACACGGGCAGCGGGCAGGGCATATGGCTGCATGGATGTCTGTCACCTTTGACCAGGAAGCTTGAGGGGAGATACCTCAGCCAGCAGGAAGGTCAGCTTAGCTCACCGGCCATTCAAGGGGTATAAAAAGAGAGCGTCACCCCTCCCTGGCCCTCTGGCCATCAGGAAAGGGGTGGTGCCATCTTGCCCCACATGGGGGCTTCAGGCAAGTACTGTCTTCTCTGTCTCAGTCTCCCTATCTGGAAAATGGGGAGCAACCTCAGGGAGCAATGTGAGAAGGGAGCACTGTGGTGTCCTTGAGAGACTGGTGTGGGGCTGGGCCAACAGCAGATCCTGTCCTGCTCCCCTTCCTCTGTGGGGCTGAACAGGGGTAAAGGCCAAATGCCGTTTTTCTGCACCCCTCAATCTGCACATCTATCAACACCACTTCACATTCTGTCATGTGGATATTGGCCATTCCTGAGTCTCCTATGTAATCAGCATCACATTATTCCAGTTACAAATCACTGTGTCCATAGAAAATGTTAGTGTGCTGGCATCTGTTGGACAAAGGTTGTGTCCCTTTTTTTTTTTTTTTCTTTTACCTCCCACCCATACTTCCTCCCCCAACATTGTCCACCTGCCCCTTATGGATGACAAACTCTTTAAACAGAATCATGTGCGGGTCTTTCTGTGAGTCCACAGCATCATAGGAAGAACTCAGCAAGGAACCGATTTACATGGCCAGTGCCTTACAGAAGAGACCCTGAAGTTGGCCCCGCATGGGACCAGGCTGGCCTGAGGGATGCCCAGTTGCAACAAGGCTACTGTCACTGTCATTAAATATGTGTTCTCTAGACTCGTGTGTGGTGGATCAGGGACAAAGCAGAGTTTGTTGACATACAAGCCAATTGCAGGCGTGGGAAAAACTCACAGCCTTCCCCATCCAGGGGGTTGAATGTATGTGGTTTGGGATGAAGTCACGTGTCTTGATTGCTCGGGAGCAGCACAAATGTTGGTGTCAGTCATAGGTCTCAGTCTGCTGTGACACAATGTGCAGGGAAGTCACAGTCCTCTAGGCCTTCATTTCTTCTATGAGATGGGATGACAAACATATCTACCGGGGTTGTTGGGGTTCCAGGAAGTGCTTTGTACTGTGCCTGACATATAGGAAATGCTCAGTAGGTGGGAGCTGTGTCTTTCTAGAGTCCTCTTGTTGGAAGGATTGTCTCCATAACTTAAGCGTTGAGAGACTGGCCAGTCGTGCAAATCACAGCAGGCACAGCAAAAGCCCCATCCTCCCATCTTCACACCAGACCCACTAAAAGGGCCCTCACCACACCTTAGGGCTGTTTCCATTATCCTTTTTTTTTTTTCCTTTTTTGTCTTTTTTCGTGACCGGTAACGGGATCGCAACCCTCAGTTCTTTTTTCGTGACCTTTAACGGGATCGCAACCCTCGGTGTCGCGCCCGCACCCTGCTCAACCAGTGAGCGGACCGGTCTCTACATGGGATCCGAACCCTCGGCGGGAGCGCCACTGCGCTCCCAAGTGCCGCACTCTCCCGAGTGCGCCACTGGGCCGGCCCTCCATTATCCTTTAATAGGGGTTATTAATGGATAGACTCCAGGGGAACCATAAATTCCTCCCAAATCAGATTCAAAACTTTATGTGCACATCTTTCTGCAGAGATACCTAGGGTTGTGACCAGGATCTCAAAGGGGCTCTGCTTTGGAAGGTGCCTTTCTACCTCACCCATATCCAACTGCAATCCAGATGGATCCATAGACTGCAACCCTGTGCCTGAGAAGCCCCAGGGCACAGGCATTTCTTTCCTGCTGTGGGGGTGTGCCCAGAGGGCGGGGGAGGTGCTCCAGGGCTATCTGTGGGCCATGGTTCCCGGTTTGAAGATCTGCCTCCAGTTACACATTATAAGCATCTAAAGTTGCTTTTGGCTATCAGACAGAGGGAGGATGCAATCCCCCACCTCCACTTCAGGTTATGAATGTTTTTCCTTTTAATGTTTTTATCATCACGGATGTAGGGTTACAGAGAAGTTGCATAAGCACTCCCGTGTGCCCATCCCCTGGACTCCCTAAATGTCAGCATTTTGCCCGTTTGCTTCATTCTCTTAACACGTTTTTTTTTTCCTGAACCATTTGACAGTAAGCTGCAGAGGTGATACTCCTTTGCTTCTGAACACTTGTATGCCTCTGTCTGGTTATGACAAGGGCTACTGCAAGGCTAATGTCTCGAATCCTGCTCACAGCACCAATTGTCTAGCTCTTAGTCTCTTTTTTATTTTATTTATTTATTTATTTATTATTATTTTTAAAGATGACCGGTAAGGGGATCTCAACCCTTGACTTGGGTGTTGTCAGCACCATGCTCAGCCAGTGAGCGAACCGGCCATCTGTATATAGGATCTGAACCCGTGGCCTTGGTGTTATCAGCGCCGCACTCTCCCGAGTGAGCCACAGGCCGGCCCAATTTTATTTTTTTTAAAGATGACCAGTAAGGGGATCTTAACCCTTGATTTGGTGTTGTCAGCACCACGCTCACCTAGTGAGCTAACCGGCCATCCCTATATGGGATCCGAACCTGGGGCCTTGGTGTTATCAGCACCACACTCTCCTGAGTGAGCCATGGGCTGGCCCTTAGTCCCTTTTTTAAAGGTTCTTGTACCGTTCAATCATTCCTGGGGATGATATGGCACATGTAATTTCCACTGAATGGACAACTGGGAGGCCCACCTCTGAATCCCATGTCCAGTAAAGTGGGTTCCATTATCATTTTCTATAACTATAGGCCGGCCATACATAGCAGTAAGTCTATTCAATGCCTTCACAGTGTTTACCTGGTCTGGGGCCTTGCAAGGCCATACAAACTAAAGACCAGTAGCTGTATCAACAGCTGTGAAGATGTATCTGAAATTCTCTGACCTTGGCAGTGGTCCGACTAAGTCCACCTGCCATTGAATCAGGGGCACCCTTCCTTGAGTTATTTGCCCATCTGTATGGGGCATCTGCCAGGGGTGTGGACTCTCTTGAGCACAGACTGGACAAGTGTGACAGGAATTTACTACATCTTCCCATTTTATAGGCAGGGCCCATCATTGAGCTGCCATCCACGTGTTTTTACTGCCAGCATGCTGCATTCGTTGATGTAACCACTGGGCTACATCAGTAGCTGGGGCTCTCTCCAGCCATCTTACCTTAGCCAAGGCATCGGCTTCATCATTTCCTGAACTGGCTAAGGGGAAGAGTCCTGTGACATGGAAAAGAGTTACTTCTTTCTCATGCCCCAGTTCCCATAACTCTTACCACATGGCTTGTCCCCGCAGGGGATGGAGGCCTACCATCCACCACTGATACTTCCAAGTAGAAATCCAAAGGGTTAAACCTTTGTACACAGCCCAGCTGTCAGTACAGATGGTTATTGGCCCAGGCTCATTTTTTATCACCATCCATACTGCTCTCACTTCAGCCCATTGACTGCTTTGCTCTGTACCATTTTCGTACCACATGGTATCTGTTGAGCGCTGGACAGCAACAGCTGTCCACAATGCTGAGGGTCCCATGCTAGAGCCATCTGTTTATGAAGCTTGCTCTGTGATAGGTCCCTGTCCCTCATGGAAAGGTGTAGCCTCCACCTCCATGGGTAGGGGTTGTGTCAAAGTTTCCTCCACAACCTCTACTGGTCCCAGCACAGTTTGCAACTCTTTGGACAGAGGACTCATTGACACAGTGCTCCTTTGTTCTATATATGCTCCCCATTTAGACAGAGTGGGAGTCTGAGTTACACCCGTTTTAGGGCTGGTTGCCCATGTGCACAGCCAACCTATTATGGGGTAGGTCATCCTAACTAGGGCTTTGGCAGTTCCTGTGATAGCTTCAGTGGCTATCAAGGCAGAATACACAGCTGCTAACTGCTTTTCTATTAGGGTGTAGCACACTTCAGCACCCTTCCAGAGCTGAGACCAGAATCCTACAGGTGTGTGGAATCGGTCTTGTCTCTGCCACAAACCCCATCCTAACCCCTCCTGGATTATATGTATGTTTAACTCAAATGGCTTAGTGGGGTCAGCCACTTGTAAAGCTTGTACTTGCTGTATTGCCCTTTTCGTAGCCTGATAAGCTTGTTCTATTTTCTCAGTCCAATCCCAGAGGGCTCCTTTCTTTGTCAATGCATAAAGTTGGCATGCCATTTGGGGTACAAAAGCTCTCCAATACCCCAAAAGTCCCAAATATGTCTGTAGCTGAGCTACCATTGTGGGTCGAGGGTATGCCTGCATCTTGTCTATATTAGCTTCTGCTCAGACCCTTGTCTTACCCGACCAGA